TTTCACTTTTGTGTACAAACACCTTAGATAACCAGTTGATTGCCTACCTTCTCCATCCAAATCAGGGGTCCTCCTTTGTTGCTCATTCCTCCTTGTGTTTCTTCCCGGTATCCGACTTCCTCACTTACTTCAGGGCTTTGGTTACCGTCTGCCAATGAACCTAGTTTAAAGCCCTCCTCACTAAGTTTGCAAGCTTGCCTGCGAAGATGCTTTTTACTCTCTTGGTTAGGTGGATCCCATCTCTTCCTAACAATCCTTGTGCCCAGAACAGAGTCCTGTGATTGAAGAAACCAAAGCCCTTTCTCCGACGCCACCTGCACAACCACACATTTACTTCCTCAGTAACAAAAACCCGTATTTCTTCCAAATTGCCTGTAAACTCATGTTCCACCTCACCAACCCTAAAAGGAAACATTAGCTAATGAATGATTAAAAATCTTTATTACATTTAGTAAACTGTATGTGGAGGAAAATGCTGTGTGTCTAATTTTAGACTGTAAGGTTTCAGAGCTAGACCTTAGGATTTTTACCTGTCTGTAAGATGCCTGTGCAGTCCTGCTATATCTAATATATAAAGGAGAATGTTTGTATGTTTGTGCGCTAATAACTTGGACACTATAAGAGCTACCACAACCAATATTTGTATGAATAACCTTTTATCCAGGAGAAGGCTTTAAGGTACTGTGGGTGGGAAGAGATAAGAGACCGACACCTCTCCCCGGGGCTGCACAGAGCTTGGCAGCATAAGCATGCGCAGCACATTTTATTAGGGTGTGCACCCAAAGAATTTTTTTAAAATGTACTCTTTGACCCACATTAGCCACACTCCTGACTCCCATTAGCCACACCCGCTAACCCCCATTAGCCACGCCTCTGGAAGTAACACTTTTGGGGCAATATGGACACATGACCAGAAATAAAAGGTGTCATGTGACCCCCCTCCTCCCCAAAGACTTTTCCCACCATCCTCTTACCAATAGGGATTAGTTTGGCCCTCACCAAACCCCCCTCATGCAACTATCCTGCAATTGCATTACCCCAATGTGTGTGACATTAACTCGGGGGCAGAGAGGCTAGGGGAAGTGTTCCCTCTACGAGCACAATAAATTTTGTGTTGTGCACCAGTACTGAGTTTGCGGCTTGTTTGGATGTGCAACTGTGGCACCCAAGTTATTAATAAATATCTTATGAACCTCTATCTTTCCCTTCTGCTGCCATGTCTCCTCCCCTTGTTCCATCAGCTCCCCTGGTGCCTGCTGCTCCCCCAACCCCTCATCCACCTATGCTATCCTGACTCCTGCCCTTCTCACTGCCCTCAGCCTTCCTGAGACCTGCCCTCCTCCACCAGCCCTTCCCTCTCCCCCTGTGCCCACTCCTCCAGTAGCCCTACTCTGATCTGATCCTCATCCCTTCTCCTAAACACCTCCCTCTACACACCTGCCCTGCCTCTCTCCTCTGGTGATGGTCCCTTCCCTGCAGGTGTCTGCCCTTCTGCTTCACCCCCAGAATCCCCTGGCATCTGCCTCCCCCTTCCCTCACTGCCCCTGCCCCCTTTGCTCTCGTTTTCCCTGATGCCCACCTCCTCACCACCCTCTGCCCCTGTTCCCCTCATGCCCCTGTGCCCTCACACATGAAGGCAGGGATGGAGCAAGTCCTCATGCCCACCTCTTCTTTCTAGCCTTCTCCCAGCACCCTCCCTCCCCCTCTAGCCCCCAGTGCCCTTACTCTCTCCTCTCCCAGCATTACCCTGTCTCCCCTCCCACTGACACCTCCCCTCCTGCCCTTTACCTCATTGTCTGCACTTGGCCCCCTGGCATTTCTCTCCTGCACCCCTGTCCCTTGGTGCCTCCCCTTTCTTCTTCTTCTGACCTCCTCCCCCGCCCTCAAGCCCCTTCCCCCTATTTTTCCCCTCCCTTCCCCACAGTCCAGCCCAGCCCAGCCCCTTCCAAGGTTTTTTGCTGCCCCAAGCAAAATATTTTTGGCTGCCCCCCTTTTTTTTGGTTGTCTTTTACACGTTTGCATTTTGCAGTGGGTTTTTTTTTCCATTTGTTTTCATTTTTGTCCCCGCATTTTAGCCCTATAAATAGCAAAGAGCATTTTCATTTGTTTTATTCCATAAAGGCAAAGGCGCTTCAAATGAAATCCCCCTTTCACTCCCTGCTGGGTCATAGCAGCCTTCTCCCTGGCCTGTCCAGCCCCTCTGTATGGACAAGCACCCCTCACTCCCGACCGACAGGGGAAACAGGGTGCAGGACAGCACAGAGCCAGAGGGGTGCAGGGAACAGTGGGGGGGAGGGGGTACAGGGTTGGCACGGGGAATGGGAGGCACAGAGCCAGAGGGACGCAGGGTGCGGTGGAGGCATGGGGAATGGGATGTGGGGGACAGGAGAGGCAGAGGGATCGGGGTCTAGGGGCAGTGCAGGGAATGGGCAGCACAGAGCTGTGGGGGCAGAGATCACAGGGGAGCAAGGTGCAAGGGCGGTGCAGAGCCAGAGAGTCGCAGGGAAGAGGGAGAGCAGGCGGTCTGGGATGTAGGGGAGATGGGGCAGTGTGGGGAACGGGCGGCGTGGAGACAAAGAGGTGCGGGGCAGGTGCAGTGAGCTGGATGGTCAGC